GAGAGGCAGCAGCGCCGGCCCCAGTTGGGAAGGCGAAGGGGAAAGGGAAGGTTGATGCGAAGGCGAAGGGGACGAAGCGGAAGGTGGGTTTCTTGAATTCTATGTCTGGGCCTTTGGCATGACCAATTCAATAGGTCGATGAGAAGGCGGAGAGTAGCGCTGGTAAGAAACCAAGGAAGAAATAGGCGTCACCTACTGTTCCTTTCCCGTCCGACTTGTTTGGGTTTCGGTATTTTTATTTCCTTGTCGGCTTTGTATATCTCTTGCAGTTTATTTTTTGCAGTTGCTATTCATCTTCTTGCGCAGGCTCCTAAAAGCATTGCCCTCGTCAACCTAATTATAGTCAGTGGTAACCATGTAGCCGTAACCAGTAAGTTACTTGCGATCACTTCAGACCCAATTCTCTGTTAGCCCTCCCAAGATTGGCGACTAACTAGCGGATATGACCACCATCTGCATGAAGACGCGAATTCACTGCACGTCCAGCGCGACTATTCACCAACACCTGAAAATTATGACGAGGAGAAAAGATATCATCACTACCAGCGGGAAATATCACGCTCGCACGAAGCACATCGACATAATCATTTTACCTGCTTCGTCATTTTCTCAAGCCTTCACGGGCGGTATGACCGCCCAAAGGCAAAACACACTACAGCAGCACTGGACTGTCTTCAAATTGAGCGGGAGTGTCAGAATAAGAGTAAGGAACTTTCAAAAGTGCAAGTATTCATCAAGTAAACACCGTTAATTTACGCTACAAGAGGTCACATTGTATAAGCTTGGACAAAGAACAAGACTTGAACTGGTCTTCAGCATTCCCTTGTCGCCCAACAAGAATAATGTCCATTCTCTCGTGCAGCACCAGGAGTGGCAGATTGTCGAAGTTTCTTGGCTATATCTAAAGGAGTTTCATATAACGACTTCCAACCATAAGATGCCTGCAAGAGCGCTTCCCAAACACCCTTTTCTTTGATAGGTAATAAAACGTCCGGGGAGAGACCAGCACACCAGATCTCATAGATGACAGCCCGGTAACTTGCAGATGCATTCTTGCGGACAACTTTGAGCAAAGGCTTCTTTGCTGCCAAAGCAAAGACAATCTTTATTATGGGTACAGCGCACCCTTTGTCCTCCAGAATATTGAGGTTGTGAGGATTCATGGCATCGAACAATTCCTGTTGAGGTTGGGTACCGTACGCTGAATCATTTTTGACTTGAATGAGAACTAGTCCTGCATTCCCAATCTCCAATTTTGTACCGTTCTTTAGGAAGGCATTGATAATGTCAACACCATTTTGGTTGTTCGCGCATAAGACTCCTGCTCCTCGACCTATCAATAACAAGAGGGAGGTGAGGTCAATAGCCTTGAATTCGTGCACCTTGACGAAATGTGAAAAATGCATTTTTGCTTGGGGAAAATCGCTTGCAAGCTTGTGTAGTTCTTGAGCAGATTTTTCAGAGCAATTGAAAAGCCCCCCCAAAAAGAAATCAGCCAGGCTGAAGAAGCGGTTTCCTTTCTCTGGGTTGCCGTAAATGCTGGGAAGGCCGACTGTTGCATCTCGCGCAAGAGTTAGAAGTAATAGAACTAAAAACTCCCCGCGATCTCCTTTCGAGATCGCAAAGCCCTCCATCACCGACTTCAGTGCATCTGCTGCATTGAATGAATGATCCCGCGTCATGAGAAAGTAAGCAGCCTCTGACAATATCGGTTCAGAGGAAGATGCTGTCGTCATTGTCTGACAGGCTCCATCGATTTTGAGGCACACGCGCATGTGCCCTTCGACTTGTTTTCTCTCGTTCGACTGCTCAATGTAGTTGGTAGACTGGAATTCGAGTGGAATTCGCTGAGCCAGGCATGCTAGTTTTTGATCATCTGAAAACTTTTTTACAAATTCTTCTGCCATGAGTTTTGCAGCAGCAAAAATGAGAATGTCACGCTTGACATCATCTGAACCCGCTTGCCATCGGGTTGCAAATCTATCATAGTTTCATAGGTAACAATTATTTTGGAGGTAAGAGGGATACATACAGGGGCCGACCCATGGAGCAGATATGCCCAGGAGACGTCAAACACTCAAGGTTCCAATCCCCATTAAGGCTGATTTTGTGAGCGAAAGGATCAAATCCCAGATCTGTGAGTGGCTGACCCGGAATCAAGTCGCCCTTGATTATGCGTTTTGAAAGATCATACTCCGCCGCTGGTGTGAATTCGGAGATCTTCCCAGTTGTTGAAAGGAAAAGCGAGAATACAGAAAGGGTGCGAAATGATCGGAGGAGTTGCCGCACTTGATAAAAGACAGACCACTGTTCTTCATTCTCAGAACCCTTCCGCTCTGCAATGGTATGCGCTTCATCGAACGCCAGTATGATTAAAGGTACTTCGTCTGCCTTCTCTCCATCAGGTCTGATGTACAGCTCCTTTAAGAAATCGCATAGCAGCGTGAGTGCCAACTTGGCAGGGGTAGGTTGGGAGTTGGTACGAGCCATCTCAGCAGGCTCTGCAGATGCGCTCTGGGGCTAGCCAAAGGTCTTCGTCAGGACAAGTGACACACTCAGATGTGACATACCTGTGGAGGAGCTCTTTTTAGTTGAGATGCCTTGTAAAGAACTTCCTCGTAGAAGTGTTTGTGATATTGATTGTGGGACTGCATTGTTTGTCCCTCCGTCATGCGCTTCCTAAATTTACTTGCAACATTACTGTAATCACACCCCTCATACTCCTCCTGCTTAAGGGTTTCCAGGGTGTGAGTAAAAAGTGCTTCGAAGAACTTGTCAGCGCGATCGAAGGCTTCGTTCTTGGATGTCACCGAGGTTAAGTAATCTCTGAGTGCACCGTCTGCAGGTGGATAACCTGAAAAAAAGATAGGTATAATGCAATACCCCAAAACAATAACCGGACGCACCAGTTGTGTGCGTCCCGCGAAGGTTCATGGTAATGACGAAACATGTCTTCGCCAGTTCGTCCGTCATCCTCGACTTCCCCATACCAGAGGACTGGACTATGGAGGCATAATTGGCATAGACTTGGGGTGCACTTTTTCTGTTGTAGTTAACCTTGATGTGGGCCCAAAGACCAATTGCAGCGTTGCCCTTGTATTGGTACTCCCAAGATTTCTGTGTGGCTGGAGGCCGAGATGAAAGAAGATGTGATATACTGAACTTCAATGAACTTACCCCATTCTTGTTCTTCCTGGTTACCACGAGGACGAACGACATTCAGCCCCTCAGGCGCCACAGCATTATCCACAAAGTTCAGCAGTGCTTGCATATGCAACAGAGTGGATGATTAGAAGAAAGCCATGTTTGACGTTTCACGAACAAAACTTACGAGAGTCGAGGAGAGGTTGGAGCCTGCATGCCTCCCAGGCTGACCGTAAAGAGATGATCAGCTCAGGATGTGCAGAGACGACTTTCTCAAGTTCGCCGGTGCCCTGGAATTTGCGTTTGAAGTCTCCACTCATCTCCATTATCCAGAAGATGATGGCTGCCGCTTTCTTGTTGCCAATTTCCTCCCCTAAATTGAATATGTCATACGCACTTGTAAATAAGTTTTTTTCCCGCTCATGATCAGCAAAGTTATCAGAAGACAGGAGCTGTCTCTTGGGGTGTGGACTGAAAGCTTCTGACTCTGAGAGTCGCTTCGACATGACTGGGGGTCAAGTGCGGTGTGTTGACTGTGGTGGGGAGTGAGGAAAGCCACTTCGCGCGCGTTCGGCAAAGCCGAGACGTGCAGAGCCTAGAAAAGGTATTTGTGGGGATAATGAGGCCTGCTAAGATGGATAGCCCGTTCGGCAAAGCCGAGGCGCGCAAAAACTAGATTAGAGACGACGGAGGGAAACAACGAAGAAACAACAGGATCGGCGCTTGGGCGATGACTAGTCACTTTCGATAGGAGATTGTTTGATCTAAGAAGTGTGTGCAAATTGAATGTGTCACGATGCCGACGCGTTATGTCACCTCCCAAGTCACAGTCGCGTCCCCTACACTCCCTCCCTCATACAATGGGTATCAAAGGCCTCACAGGGCTCCTCTCCCAACATGCGCCCAAAGCCATAAAAGAAATTAAAACACTCTTCGGACGCAAAGTCGCCATCGACGCCTCCATGTCCATCTACCAATTCCTCATCGCCGTGAGACAGAAGGACGGCGAGCTCCTCACGAACGATGCGGGTGAAACGACGAGATATCTCATGGGCTTGTTTTACCGCACGCTTCGAATTGTGGAGAATGGGATCAAGCCTGCGTATATCTTCGATGGGAAGCCGCCAGAGTTGAAGAAGGGTGTGGTGAGTTTTCTTTTAAGTTTGCTGGGCATGCAGGGACTGATGTGTTTTGGTGTAGCTGTCGAAACGGCTTGAGAGGAGGGAGGAAGCCAAGGAGGAGGGAGAGGAGGCGAAGGAGACTGGAACTGTTGAGGATGTGGATAGGTTTTCACGGCGGACTGTTAAAGTCACCCGAGAGCATAACCAGGAGTGTCAACGGCTTCTAAGGCTCATGGGGATCCCCGTTGTTATTGTACGCGCTTTACCTCTCTTCTGACTCTCATATTCAGCATGTCCTCTAGGCACCCTCAGAAGCAGAAGCACAATGCGCTGAGCTGGCGCGGGGAGGGAAGGTATACATTGCGCTCTACGTACGCTGCCTATTCTTACGCGCAATGCAGTACGCTGCAGGCTCAGAAGATATGGACACGCTCACCTTCAACGCGCCCATCCTGTTCCGACATTTAACTTTCTCAGAGGCGAAGAAGCAGCCTATCAGCGAGATAAACCTCAAGGAGGCCCTCGAAGGGCCTCTCTATTCGTTTCCCACCGTACGCTAACCACCATTCCAAGTTTATCGACCTCTGTATCCTCCTTGGATGCGACTACCTAGAGCCCATCAAAGGCGTCGGTCCGAAATCCGCACTTAAGCTGATACGTGAGTATGGAGGACTGAAAGGCGTCGTGAAGCACTTGAGAGAAAAGTGAGTTTTTGTCACCACGCACAGGTTCGTTGCTGAATCTCTCTCAGAGCCGCCACACAAAAAGCAGCTCAGGCTGCCGTCGAGTCAGACGAAGAGTCCGAGCATGAAGAGGAAGACGAGCCAGCGCCAACGTCCGACGTGGAGATGCCTGACCCGGTCGAAGAAGATCAAGACGGGGAAGAGGAAGCAGAACCAAAATCATCCCAGGCCACGCCAAAGAAGAAGAAAGCTAGCTCCAAGACGAAGGAGAAGAGTAAAGCCACTGTGAAAGGCAAGGGAAAAGGAAAGGGGAAGGGCGGTGGTGGAATGCAGATTCCGGAAGAGTGGCCTTGGGAAGAGGCCAAGAAGATTTTTAAGAGGCCTTCGCACGTTCACCGAGATGTGTGCTGATTCATTGTTGTTCAGCTGGAATGGACCAATCCCGACGTTGACGGCCTCGTCCAGTTCCTTGTTAACGAAAAGGGGTTCAAGTGAGCTGTCTTTGTTTCCCTCTTCCAGGATACCATTGCTGATCCCGTTTTTTTTTTTCAGTGAAGATCGTGTGCGCAAGGGCGCTGAGAAACTTCAAAAGTTCCTTAACAGTAAACAGCAAGGACGGCTCGACGGCTTTTTTAGTGTAAAGCCGAAGGAGAAGGCAGCAGCGCCGGCCCCAGTTGGGAAGGCGAAGGGGAAAGGGAAGATTGATGCGAAGGCGAAGGGGACGAAGCGGAAGGTGGGTTTCTTGAATTCTATGTCTGGGCCTTTGGCATGACCAATTCAATAGGTCGATGAGAAGGCGGAGAGTAGCGCTGGTAAGAAACCAAGGAAGAAATAGGCGTCACCTACTGTTCCTTTCCCGTCCGACTTGTTTGGGTTTCGGTATTTTTATTTCCTTGTCGGCTTTGTATATCTCTTGCAGTTTATTTTTTGCAGTTGCTATTCATCTTCTTGCGCAGGCTCCTAAAAGCATTGCTCTCGTCAACCTAATTATAGTCAGTGGTAACCATGTAGCCGTAACCAGTAAGTTACTTGCGATCACTTCAGACCCAATTCTCTGTTAGCCCTCCCAAGATTGGCGACTAACTAGCGGATATGACCACCATCTGCATGAAGACGCGAATTCACTGCACGTCCAGCGCGACTATTCACCAACACCTGAAAATTATGACGAGGGGAAAAGATATCATCACTACCAGCGGGGAATATCACGCTCGCACGAAGCACATCGACATAATCATTTTACCTGCTTCGTCATTTTCTCAAGCCTTCACGGGCGGTATGACCGCCCAAAGGCAAAACACACTACAGCAGCACTGGACTGTCTTCAAATTGAGCGGGAGTGTCAGAATAAGAGTAAGGAACTTTCAAAAGTGCAAGTATTCATCAAGTAAACACCGTTAATTTACG